AATTCGAAGTGCTGAAGTAGAGCCAAAACAACAACTAATGTGTCACTGTTGCAATACTTTTGTAGCTCACTGTATCTCAAGAAAGATCGAAATGCATATTCTCACGAAACTGATTGAGATAAAATGGTTGACATGCTGATGCTCCATGAACGTTTTATGATTTTTGGTTACACCTTATCTCACGTTGGTCGAGCACCTTCTCCTCTCAAATATATAATTTCAACTACATAAAGTGCTTGCAAAAGTGTTCATACTCCTTGGATTTCTTCACATTTTATTGTGTTACAAAGTTGGATTGAAATTGATTTAATTTAGATTTATTTCTCAACAATCAACACAAAATTGTGTACTCTAATGTAAAAGTGGAAGAAAATTGTGATTTTTATAAAGATTAATAACAAAATTGAGAACTAAAATATAATAGTTGCAAAAGTATTCAGCCCATTTGTTTAGGCCTAAATTAGTTCACAAGTTAAATTTGGCTTAACATATCACATAATATGTTATATGGACTCAATAGGGGTTGACATGATTTTTGAACGACTACCCATACCTCTGTCCCCATACATACAACATCTGTAAGATCCCTCAGTCAAGTATTGAATTTCAAGCACAGATTTGACTACAAAGACATGGGAGCTTTTTGAAAGCCTCATAAAGAAGGGCACTGATTGGTAGATGGGTAACACTAATAAATCAGGCATTGCATATCTCTTTAAGCATGATCAAGTTAATAATTATGGTGTGGATTATGTATTAAACCACCCAGACACATCAAAGATACAGTTGTCCTTCTGAACTGAGCTGCAGGACATGAATGAAACTGCTCTGGGGTGTTACCATGAGGCAGTTGGTGATTTTAAAACAGTTACAGGCTATCATGGTAGAAAAACTGAGGATGGATCAAAATCATTGTAGTGACGCCACAATAATGACTTAAATGACAGTGAAAAGAATATTACAAATATACATTAAAAAAAATAAAAAAAACATGCATCTTGTATGCAAAAAGGCACTAAAGATAATACTAAAAATAAATAAATATGCAAAACCTTATGTTTGGGGCAAATCCAAAACAACACATCACTGAAAAACTGCCTCCTTATTTTCAAGCATGGTGGTGGCTGCATCATGGTATGGGTATGCTTGACATTGTTAAGAACGGTGGAGTTTTTCAGGATGAAAAGAAACGGGATAGAGCTAAGCACAGGCATAACCCTAGAAGAAAACCTGCTTCAGTCTGCTTTACACCAGACACTGGAGAGGAATTGACCTTTCAGCAGGACAATAACCTACAACACAATGACAAATCTACATTGGAGTTGCTTACTAAGAAGACAGTGAATGTTCCTGAGTTGCCAAGTTAAAGTTTGGACTTAAATCTGATTGGAAATCTATTGCAAGACTTTAAAATTGCTGTCTAGCCATGATCCCCAACATATTGACAGAGCTTGAAGAATTATGAAACGAATAATGGGCTGATATTGCACAATCCTGGTGTGTAAAGCTCTAAAAGACTTACCCAAGAAGACTCACAGCTGTAATCTCTGTCAAAGGCTTTCCAAGCGGTATGACTACTATTGCAAGTCACTGTAACATTAGATCCAATACCAAGGTACAGCCAAAACCATATGTATATGGACAGTGAAGCTAAAATGTGAAATGTGGATCTATACTACAGAATTTAGTATTTTAAATAAAAGGTTTCATGTACTATAACTTGAATACACTTTAAGTGAATTTGTCCAAATACTTATGGCTTCTTCAAATTGGGGGGACTATATACATAAAGTGCTTTCATTTCTAAATTGTAAAAAGGTGACCTTCTGTACTATCGCCTCATATGAAACATTTGATCTCGAATCCAAAATGCTGGAGTTGTCACGCCCTGACTCTGAGGTCTTGTATTTGTTGAGTCAGGGTGTGTATTTTCCGTGTTGTGTGTTGCTATGTTTGATTTCTATGTTTTAGATCTAGCATGTGCAGATCTATGTTGGCCGGGGTGGTTCCCAATAAGAGGCAGCTGTAGCTCGTTGTCTCTGATTGGGGACCATACTTAGGCAGCCTTTTGACACCTGTTAGTTGTGGGATCTTGTTCCGTATAGGTTTGTTGTGTGGAACCTTAAGACTTCACGTATCGTTTGTTTGTTGTTTTGTCGTGTTTGCACAGTTATAATAAACATGTACGCTTATCAAGCTGCGCCTTGGTTCGACCAATCTTTAAACGATCGTGACAGAAGATCCCACCAATCCTGGATCAAGCAGCGTGACGAGGAGAGAGGATGGACTTGGAGGAGATGAGCGAGAGTCTGGCAAGAGGGATGGAGGCCATGATCACGGGGGAGAGACAATCCCCAAAAAAAATAGGGGGGGGGGCTCACGCCGTGGACGACGAGGCAGCAGGAGGCCGCGATAGAGCGGTTCAGCTGTTTAGCAGAGGAGGCCACCAAATTAGGGGGGTCATTGGTTCAGAGGGAGCAGAAGGAAAGTGTAGAGGCACGGCGAGAGGAGCTGGTTAGGCAGCAGAAGGAGCGGGGGTTAATGAAGGAACCCAGTCCCGCTCCTCGCACCAATCAAGTGGTGCGTGTCGCCAGTCCGGTCAGGCCCGTTCCTGATTCCCGCACTAAACCAGTGGTGGGTGTTCCCAGTACGGTTCGGCCCGTTCCTGCTCCTCGCATCAAGCCAGTGGTGCGCATCGCCAGCCCGGTCCGGCCTGTTCCTGTCCCTCGCACCAAGTCAGTGGTGCGCGTCGCCAGCCCGGCCCGGCCTGTTCCTGCCCCGCGCACCAAGACAGTGGTGTGCGTCGCCAGCCCGGTCCGACCTGTTCCTGTCCCTCGCACCAAGCCAGTGGTGCGCGTCGCCAGCCCGGCCCGGCCTGTTCCTGCTCCCCGCACCAGGACTGTGGTGCGCGTCGCCAGTCCGGTACGGCCCGTTCCTGCTCCCCGCACCAAGCCAGTGGTGCGCGTCGTCAGTCCAGTCCGGCCCGTTCCTGCTCCCCGCACCAAGCCAGGGGTGCGCGTCATCAGCCAGGTCCGGCCCGTTCCTGCTCCCCGCACCAAGCCTGTGGTGCGTGTGTCCAGTCCGGCACGGCCCATGCCTGTTCCACCGGTGCCTGGTCCGGCACCGGTCAGCTGCTCCACTCCGGAGCCAGAGCAGTCCGCTCCACCGGTGCCTGATCCAGCTCCGGTCAGCGGCTCCACTCCGGAGCCAGAGCAGTCCGCTCCACCGGTGCCTGATCCAGCTCCGGTCAGCGGCTCCACCCCGGAGCCAGAGCAGTTCGAGCCACCGTCGTCTGGTCCAGCTCCAGTCAGCGGTTCCAGTCCAGACCCAGACGTCAGCCCCTCTCCAGGTTTGCGGTCTCCCACACCAGGGTCCAGACAGGGCTTGGTACTTCGTGGGAGGAAGGATAGGGGAAGCAGCGCGCCGAGGTCCAGACCAGACCAGGGGCGCAACAGGGAGGTGGAGAGTAAGTGGTGGTCACACCCGGAGCCGGATCCGCCTCCGAGGCGGAATGCCCACCCGGCCCCTACCCTGTTATTTTTATGTGGCGCGGTCGGAGTCCGCACCTTTGGGGGTCTCGAATCCAAAATGCTGGAGTTGTCACGCCCTGACTCTGAGGACTTGTATTTGTTGAGTCAGGGTGTGTATTTTCCGTGTTGTGTGTTGCTATGTTTGATTTCTATGTTTTAGATCTAGCATGTGCAGATCTATGTTGACCGGGGTGGTTCCCAATCAGAGGCAGCTGTAGCTCGTTGTCTCTGATTGGGGACCATACTTAGGCAGCCTTTTGACACCTGTTAGTTGTTGGATCTTGTTCCGTATAGGTTTGTTGTGTGGAACCTTAAGACTTCACGTATCGTTTGTTTGTTGTTTTGCCGTGTTCGCACAGTTATATTAAACATGTACGCTTATCACGCTGCGCCTTGGTTCGACCAATCTTTAAACGATCGTGACAGGAGTTTAGAGTCAAACTGTACATTTTAGCTTCGCTGTCCAAATACATATGGTGTTGGGTGTAAAGTATATCCTCAATTCATTCTAGGAGATTAGTTGAAGTAAACATACCATCCAGAGCATGGCTTCCACCTCACTTTCTGCTCCTGACCCTTTATTATGTAATATATAGAAATATAACTGTTGTGTTTAATTTAAAGCTGCACTATGCAGAAATCGCTCCGTCATGTCATGGTTGCTCATGTCAGCTGTTTGAAGCTGGTGTACAAAACCAAAGTAAAAGACTCAAAAACAAAACTTTAGAACGGGAAGCATAGAAATAACAAATAATGTAGAACAGATCTACTGCTTCTTAGACTTGCTTTCAAGTAGAATTAAATATCTTTAACTCAGACTTCTATGTGAATTTTGTCGGGCCACCCAAAAAGTTACATATTGCCACTTTAACTACAAGGTCTATGCACTGAAAGTTAACAATTGGTGTTGCACCAGGATTAGCCTGTAAATACAGTCAATTTCAATGTACTGCAGATTATTAACCTCCTTCGAAGTTCTATTGGCAAGAATTTCGTAAATAGGGAATATCGTTTGCCCCGGATGCACTGGACACTCTGAAACAATAAATACATTTATGTATTTAATCACCACCCATCAGAACATCATTAAAGTTAGCGTGCCAGTCATTTGCATTATTCATTGTACATCTATGCCTAGCCTACACTCTTAGAAATTGTTATTTGGCTGTCCCCATAGGAGAACCCTTTTGGTTCTATGTAGAACCCAATAGAGTTCTACCTGGAACCAAAAAGGGATCTACCTAGAACCAAAAAGGGTTATCCTATGGGGACAGCTGAAGAACCCTTTTGGAACCCTTTTATCTAAGAGTGCCTCCTGAAAAGTAGGGACCATCAATCACTGGAATCTTTTTGAATTAATTTATTAAAAACATAATTAAAGTTATTGTTATCATTAAGATTTATGAATAAACAATATAAGTTAGATACTGACTTACCTTTTTTCATTTAGTCATATTTCCTCTTCCTTGGTCAGGGTTGGATGGGGTTGGATGGGGTTGACTGTGTCATGCTCAGCAGGTTGGAGGGTTTTTTGAGGGTGACAGGGCTACAGGACTTTCTTTGGGGGGCCCTGGGCGTGGGGGTTATTGGGGGTTCAACCTGGTTGAGGATGGGGGTGTAGCTGGTCTCCTGGGTTGTGGGGGGTATCGGGGGTTCAACCTGGTTGAGGATGGGGGTGTAGATGCTCTCCTGGGTGGTGGGGGGTATCGGGGGTTCAACCTGGTTGAGGATGGGGGTGTAGATGCTCTCCTGGGTGGTGGGGTTATTGGGGGTTCAACCTGGTTGAGGATGGGGGTGTAGCTGGTCTCCTGGGTGGTGGGGGATATCGGGGTTCAACCTGGGTGAGGATGAGGGTGTAGCTGGTCTCCTGGGTGGTGGAGGATATCGGGGGTTCAACCAGGGTGAGGATGAGGGTGTAGCTGGTCTCCTGGGGGGCAACTGTATCAGACAGTGCTTAGGCAGTAACAGGAGGGTGGTTGTAGTGTGGGGGCATGGGTGTTGATTGCCACTGCGAAATATACCATATTAAGGAAATGGGACAGACAAGTGGACAACAGTTTCCAAATGGCAGAGGTGAGCATGTATATTTAAGCAATAAGGCCTGAGGAGGTGTGTTATATGGCCAATATACCAGTGTACATGGCCAATATACCACGGCTAAGGGCTGTTTTTATGCATGACGCAATGCGGAGTGCCTGGACACAGCCCTTAGCCGTGGTATATTGGCCATATATCACAAACCACAAAGGTGCCTTATTACTATTATAAACTGGTTACCAATGTAATTATAGCAGTAAAAATAAATGGTATGTCATACCCTTGGTATACGGTCTGATATACCAAGGCTTTTAGACAATCAGCATTCAGGGCTGGAACCACCCAGTTTATAAATAAACTTCTACACAGGATATGTGAAAAGAATGTGTTGAAATGTTGCATGCCTGAACTAAGTCCTCTACTTTAATAATAACAATAATAATACATGAAACATTCATAGCTTTACAATTCTAGAAACTAACAAACAATCAACAATCTAACTAAACAACACCAGACTAAACAAAAGGAAGAAAAACATGAAACAAAATACTTGTTTATACCTGGCGCTAACATGCGTCCTTTGTCCTGATCTTGTCCACATTCTGATTGTGCCCACATTTTTTGAAATGCGTCTACACATGGTCTTATCCGTCCACTGTGTCCGCATTGTGAACAGATTTCCTGGTTCCGCCTTGTATCCTAATTCTTTGACAGATATTTTTTCAAAATAATACTTATTTATTTATTTTAAGACACATATATATTCCATAAGTCAGTGGTGCCACCTGTCAATGATTTTAGAAGGCAGGATTATTTAAATGGTCTCACTGTCACCTCCAGACGTGGTCAGGAAGATCTGTGGGCACAATCAGACTGTGGACAAGATCAGGACATATAATGCATGTCAGAACCTGGTATAAATGGGGTTAAATAGAGGTGAGAAGGGCTCAAGGAAAGGGTGCGATGTGTGAGTATGTGAGTGAGCGTGCAGGTGAGTGAGCGAGCAGGTGTTGCGCGTATGAGTGAGTGTGTGTGAAACAGAAGAGTTGTGTGTGTGAGAGTGGTGGAGGGGCAGGTAAGGGTAGGACATGGTGAAGAGGTGGGTTTTTAGGCGGGACTGAAAGATGTTGATGGACTCAGAGTCACGGATGGCTGGAGGGAGTTCCAGAGCCCAGGAGCAACCCTGGAGAAGGCCCTGTCACTGAAACTCTGGAGCTTGGACCTGGGGATGACAAGGTGGCCAACTGTGGGTGAGCGGAGAGAGCATGAAGCTTGGTAGGAGAGAAGAAGGTCAGAGAGGTAAGGGGTAGCAAGGTGGGGGAGAGCTTTTTAGGTCAGGAGGATCTTGTAATTCATGTGGTGGGAGACAGGGAGCCAGTGGAGTTCACAGAGGATGGGGGTGATATGCTGCCAGCATTTAGTGTGGGTTAGAAGATGGGCTGCTGAGTTTTGAACCATTTGGAGCTTATCGAGGGAGCTTGTGTTGATGCTGGGGAGTAGTGAGTTGCAATAGTCTATCCGGGAGAAGATGAAAGCATGGATGAGAGTTTCGGCCGGCAGGACAGGAGAGGGAGGGGCTGACTTTGGCGAATTTGCGTAAGTGGAATAATTTGTTTTTTACAATCGGACGGATGTGGTGGTTGAAGGATAGGGTCTTAAGGTAGACAAACATACATATTTCTGTCCAAATACCTTTCACAATTGCCTCATACAACCTTTGAATTGCTGCCATTGAGGTCTGATTCATCATACCACTGTTGACGACAACATGTTATCCTTTTTCCTCTTGCTGAGGAGTAGCAAGGGGTACACTCCTACCTTGTGGAACCTATGTACCTGGAATCATTAATGACAAAATAACTTCCAGAAACACAACAAATATCAGTCAAATAATGACATTTAGATTTACAGTCTTAAATAATAATAATATGCCATTTAGCAGCCTCTTTTATCCAAAGCAACTTACAGTCATGTGCGCGCATACATTTTTACATATGGGCGGTCCCAGGGATCGAACCCACTACCCTGGCGTTATAAGCGCCATGCTCTACCAATTGAGCTACAGAGGACCACAATGAGAGAACAACAAATAAGTGCATAGGGCCTATCATTTCCCTACGCTAGAAATGCAGAAATCTTTTTAGGGGAAAACATAATAAAGCTTACCAGCTTGTTTGCTGCATTAACCAAGGTTGCATATCTTCCATGTTTCATTGTCTTATTTTCCCATTAATCTGTTCCTTCATTTTTTGGGCCTCTTACTTTACCTTTAGCTGTATTTCTGCACCACAGAACTTGCACTTCTTTGATGTTTTACAACTAGGACACAGCTTACGGCTGAAGCCACTAGCCATTCTGCATGAAAGGTGGATACAAAAGTGTCTGAAAGAATTGCCCTATACACATAACTTTGACTGATGGAATGCACCAGGGAGGTCCACTCTGGCATGGGGCTTGAATTGACGAAGAGAACTAGAGATTGTGAGATACAAACGACAATTAATATTAATAGAGCTCACGTTGAGTTCACATTAAATGTCAAGCCCTGTCCCTTCTCAAACCCATTAAAGAAGTGCTATGTGTGTGTTTGAAGGTGACATGGGTTTCAATGACTCAATCATATGGGTCAGATCTGATAATGGACCTCACCTGGTACTAAAACTAAGCCTGAGTCTTTAACATTACCCCACATGCCACACTGTAACATAAAAATGTGTCATACTTTTGTAGCCTGGATATAGGCTACCTGCCATAACCTCAGGTGCATAGTGCAATGAGTGTCGTTAGTTGACAGATGAAACAGTACCTGGGCCACTGAGATTTGGTTACTTATTTTAAGCTACACTTTATAGATAATCTCCTCCAGTTGGTTTGCATTTTAAAACTACAACCTGGTTTGGTTTGTCAAAACACAAGACATTGGAAGAAATCTGAAATAAAAGAGAAAAAGTCTCCACTCACTTAAAATGCAGCCAGAGGATGGATCAATAGATCTGTATCAAGAGGATGGATATAAATAATGAGAGAGAGAGAAATAGAGAGACTAAAGGTGTCAGCTGGTCTGAATAGAAGGGGGGTAGGTGTGAAGGGTCTTTATTTGGAGCTGCAAAGTAAACAGAACAGAACAAGTTTAGAATTCAATTTCTCCGCTGTATTGGTAGGATACTTATTTTAATAAACATTTTTAACTGAGCATTAAGATGTGCTTCATTTGTAAGTGGATTACATCACAAAAACTACAGGTGGTGTACAAAAATATAATGAATATGAATGATGACCATTGGATGGATACACATACACTGTGGATAGGAGCATTGCTGTCTTGTTATCCCTATTCATCCATTGTTTGCAATTGTTTGCTCCACAAGATCTAAAACAGTCTTTAGAAAGGCTTTGCAAAGACAAGTTGAACTAGCTCTATTAGGCCTACCAATAATAAGGGAGCACAGAAAATGTCAGCTTTGAGATAAATATAATTCAATGTAAATTATTTTGTGCAAAAATAGAATTCAAATACAGTAGGTGCAGGATTTTGTTCTAAACAAACAGTAACCGTAGGCTAACAGTAACAGACAAAATTTAGCAGGGGTGTCAAACTCATTCCACAGAGGGCCAAGTGTCTGCAGGTTTTTGTTTTTCCTTTCAATTAACACCTAGACCTAGACAACCTAACCAGGTGAGGGGAGTTCTTAGTCATTTGTGACCTTAATTTATCAATCAAGGGTGGAGCAAAAACCTGCAGACACTCAGACCTCCCGTGGTAGGAGTTTGACACGTGGATTAAAGTAATGAACCATATTAAACTAGTTGAATCAGGTGTGTAGATGTTGGCCAGAACAAAACCCTGCGCCCACCGTGAACCTCCATAGACTGTAGCCTAGCTCGCTAGCTAGCTATCTATCTAGCTAGCTAGCTATCTGAGACTGTTGAGTAGGCCTATAGCTAAGATTTGAATGAAAATACATATTGGTTTATTGAGAAATGTTGTAAAAAGCTATAAATCAATCTCCATAACATTACATACTAGCGATTACAACCACAATATTTTATTGCATACTTCACTTACCGGGAAAGAGGATGATCGCATGGGAGGATCGGGTACGTTCCAAGTCGCCTTCTTTGTTGAAGTCATGATGCGCATTTGTGTTGTATGTCAACATACACAGATTCTGCACAGAAGAATATACATTCAAAAAAGCGTTTCTTAGATTCATTTAATTTGATATTCTTATATGTGCCGAACAACACAGAAAGTAACCTCCCCTGCAGCCGATTGTGTTGACTAGCTGGAACGCGCTCCACATTACATTGGGTTGAAGTTGCCTATGTACAGTACTGATCTTGGGTCCATTTTCCGTTATTTTCAACATCACCCGCAAGGGTTTTGGTCTGCCAACATATGTTTTCTGACTGCAATGAGAAGAACAAAACCAAATAATATTAAGTGAAATCAAGCATAGAAACCAGTATTGCCATTGATAATGTATTTAAACGTTCCCTGGCAAAGAACCCAAAGAGTGCCATTACTTGGAGTAATATCTGAACGGTTTCAAAATGCCTACCTGTTGAATATCCTCTTGTCTGCAGCAAAAAAATGTATGGATTTGGTGGATTTATCCATCCGGCTGAATAACCTGTTGGCCACCCGCGGACAGCCGGATCAGGGTCCGTCCATTCCATCCCCCAGCACCTCCGACCCTAACCCTATGGAGCTCGGAGGTGCTGCTTTAAGGGTGACCGGAGAGGGGGGCCGTTTCCTGCACCAAGTGTGGCCGCAGAGGGCACACTGCTGGTCGGTGCTGGGGAGGTTCCCCAGGGAGTAGAGGCAGCAGGCAGGGCACTGGTGGATCATCCCAGGTGAGTAGGCACCCGACTCACCCAGAGCTCCCTGTTGCGCACATATATGTCTGTATAACGTTTCCTGAGTTTTCCCCGCATTCCCAGCATAAGGCGCTAGTAGATTCAGGCGCAGCTGGGAACTTTATTGACCGTGCATTTGCACTTAGATTAGGGATCCCTATTGTTCCTGTTGATGTGCCCTTTCCTGTACATGCCTTAGATAGTCATCCTTTAGGATCGGGCCTGATTAGGGAGGTCACAGCTCCACTATGTATGAAAACGCAGGAGGGTCATGAGGAGAGTATTAGTCTCTTCCTGATCGATTCTCCTGTGTTTCCTGTGGTGTTGGGGCTTCCCTGGTTGGCCCATCATGACCCCACTATTTCGTGGCAACAGAGGGCTCTGAAAGGATGGTCACATCAGTGCTCAGGGAGGTGTGTAGGTGTTTCCGTAGGTGCAACTTCGGTGGAAAGTCCAAACCAGGTCTCCCCCATGCCCATTCCCCCCGAATATGCCGATTTGGCTCTCTGCCTTCTGTAAAAAGAAGGCGACTCAATTACCACCCCATCGACGGGGGGATTGTGCGATAAATATCCAGGTAGACGCAACACTTCCCAGGAGTCACGTGTATCCTCTGTCACAGGAGGAGACGGCGGCTATGGAAACATATGTCTCTGAATCTCTGGGACAGGGATACATTCGGCCTTCCACTTCACCTGCCTCCTCAAGTTTCTTTTTTGTGAAGAAGAAGGATGGAGGTTTACGCCCGTGCATTGACTATCGGGGTATAAATAAGATCACGGTGAAGTACAGTTACCCGTTGCCTCTCATAGCCAGTGTGACCTAGTCATTGCACGGGGCGCGCTTCTTCACAAAACTGGATCTCAGGAGCGCGTACAACCTGGTGCGTATCCGGGAGGGGGATGAGAGGAAGACAGCATTTAGTACCACCTCAAGGGCACTATGAGTACCTCGTCATGCCGTACGGGTTGATGAATGCTCCATCAGTCTTCCAATCCTTTGTAGACGAGATCTTCAGGGACCTGCACGGGCAGGGTGTAGTGGTGTATATAGATGACATTCTCATATACTCCACTACACGTGCCGAGCATGTGTCCCTGGTGCGCAAGGTGCTTGGTCGACTGTTGGAGCATAACCTGTACGTCAAGGCTGAGAAATGTCTGTTCTTCCAACAGTCCATCTCCTTCCTAGGGTACCGCCTGTCCGTGTCAGGGGTGGAGATGGAGAATGAACCGCATTTCAGCCGTGTGTAATTGGCTGACTCCAACCACGGTGGTATGGGAGGTTGAGTGTGTCCGGTGTCCGGTTGGGCAACTGTACGTTCTGTGTGATGTCCGCGATCGATTGATCTGTTGGGCCCACACGTCACCCTCCGCTGGTCATCCTGGCATTGGTCGGACAGTGCGCAGTCTTGGTGGGAAGTACTGGTGGCCCACTTTAGCTAAGGACGTGAGGGTTTATGTTTCCTCCTGCTCGGTGTGCGCCCAGTGCAAGGCACCTAGATACCTGCCCAGAGGGAAATTACAACCCCTACCCGTTCCACAACGGCCGTGGTCACACCTATCGGTGGACTTCGTGATGGATCTTCCTCCGTCACAAGGTAACACCATGATCCTGGTCGTTGTGGATCGGTTTTCTAAGTCCTGCCATCTCCTTCCTTTGCCCGGTCTCCCTACGGCCCTACAGACTGCGGAGGCTCTGTTTACCCACGTCGTCCGGCACTACGGGGTGCCTGAGGATATAGTGTCTGATCGGGGTCCCCAGTTCACATCAAGGGTCTGGAGGGTGTTCATGGAACGTCTGGGGGTCTCGGTGGATGAATGGTTTCGGCGCTCGGAGGAGACCTGGGACGCTGCCCATGTGCGCCTGCAACGGGCCATCAGGCAAAAGAAGGCGAGCGCCGACCGCCACCGCAGTGAGGTCCCGGTGTATCCCCCGGGGGACCGGATCTGGCTCTCGACCCGAAACCTGCCCCTTCGCCTGCCCTGTCGGAAGCTGGGTCCATGGTTTGTGGGGCCATTCAAAGTCCTGAGGAGACTGAACGAGGTTTGTTATAGGTTACAGCTCCCCCCTGATTGCCGTATTAACCCCTCGTTCCATGTGTCTCTCCTCAGGCCGGTGGTGGCTGGTCCGCTCCAGCAGTCTGAGGTACGGGAGGTTCCTCCGCCCCCGCTGGACATCGACCCGGCGTATACTCTGCGAGCCATCTTGGACTAAAGGCGTCGAGCGAGGGGCCTTCAGTACCTCGTGGAGTGGGAGGGGTACGGTCCGGAGGAGAGATGCTGGGTGCCGGTGGAGGACATCCTGGACCCTTCCATACTACAGGAATTTCACCATCTCCACCCGGGTCGTCCTGCGCCTCGTCCTCCGAGTCGTCCCCGAGGTCGGTGTCGACGCGCAGCTGGAGCCGCGCGTAAAGGGGGGGGGGGGGGTACTGTCACGACTTCCGCCGAAGTTGGTGCCTCTCCTTGTGCGGGCGGCTATCGGCGGTCAT